CAGCTGAGCCCAGGACCACCCCGGGCCTTCCTGGCATGTACACCTCCAAAGCAGCCCTGCCCAAACTCTACCATGGCCATGTAGACCTGGGTAGTCGGGACCGAGTCTGGCTGGTGGCCCGAGGAGGGCTTTAAGAAGGCTAGCTGCTCACTGGCTTCCCTCTGCACACACTAAGAATCTGCGTACTCCTTGGCCTGGAGCCAGCTTGAGTGTAGCTAGCCTTCCCTCACTGGAAGGGCTGGGGTAAGAGGTTTCCAGTTCTGTACCTGTCTGAGCACCAGGCGAAACCCAGCCCCCTCAGCCTTGATGCTCTGGGCCCTCAGAAAAGCTGCTCCTTGCTGAGCAGGCAGCATAGTCCAGCTGGCTGCAGCACATTTTGGCCACTGGCTAAAGAGCCAGGTGCCCAATGGCACTGACTTCATGGCTTGAAGTACCACCACCTTCTGTGCCCAGCTCTTCTGTCCCTTAGTCTAAACCTGAAAGTAGAGAAACCAGGGTAGTCTTACACCCCTACACACTGACCACTACAAGTAGAGAATTACTAGGAGAAAATGTGGACAGCAACGGGGTAACAGCTGGAAAAACCCACTAGGAAACTCACCTCTGGCACCGTGGTTGGCCACTGTGCCTCCCAAGGTGTGTGGCAGGAGCCACTCTCCTAGATTTCTAAGTCCACACTCACCAACGGGATGGGGAGGGCTGCAGGCATGCCAGGCTGTGTCGCGAGCCGGGACTCTGTCCAGCAGAGTCCCGGAAAGACGACACAGACACCAAGGTGAGGTTCAAGCTTCTGTTTCTCTTGCATCCTTTATTCTCTCTCTTTCATTATCTCATACACTATGATGCTGCTTCTGTTCTGTTCTATTATATCTCTCACTCTTTATTCTCTCTCACTATGATGCTGTTCGTAGGTCCTTCTATTACACACCTCAGTTCTTTATATAGCATTTCCAACAGCCCTCCCCCCAGCCGGTACCAATCAGGGCTCACACACGTGCAGCGGCCAGGCAGAGTGTAGCCCATAGGCACGTAGCAAGATCATCAGGCTGGCAGCACCTGTTTTGGGGCTCACCATACTTCAGAGTTGGGGTAAACAAGCGGGATTCACGAGCCTTGGCAATCAGCCAAGAGTTGAAGTAAACAGCACGAGGTTTGGCAGCCAGCCAGGGCTCCATCTTTGGCTGGCTCAGCTGTGCTC